TCCAAAGAACTTACTATTCGGAGAAGTGGCCAAATTTCCAATTTTGGAATTGAGTGAATTAGCGGAATTACGGAAGTTCTTTTTAGAATTTAATTTGTTCTTGTTCATTCATCCAGTTAACGACAAAAGCAAAAATACTAATTTTTTTTTGACAGGATTTTGTTTTCTACAGACATTATTTTGTTTATAATTGATTATAGATTTAACAATGTATTTATTTAATTAATATTTGAAATCCGTTTGTGATAAAAAAAATAAGGGGCAATTACAAAAATGCCACTTTTTATATGCACATTTGCAAAAATGCCACTTAGGGGTGTTCATTTACAAAAATGCCATTAATTATAGATTTATAAAGCCTATATTTTAAAATTCTAAACCCTAAAAAATGTTTTGACACCTAAAACCTCCTAAACACTTAAAACTAAACCCTAATAGAACATAATTAACCCAAACATAAATAATATTAAGAAAAAATAATTTTGAAAAAGTAGCATTTTTGTAAAAATTTTAAAAGTGTGACATTTTTGTAAAATGGTACTTGAAAAGTGGTATTTTTTGAAATTTCTCAAAAAAAAAAAAAATAATCCAATAATGTATAAAATACGGTATATCCATACACCAAATATCTGGAGAGTTTTTTTTTTTGTTTTTTGGGTATATGCCCAAATTGGGTTGGAGTCGTTGGACGATACCATGACACCATGTTATTGTTTGCAAATTGGTATGGAAAAATATCGGACCGGAAAATGAGAACCGGGATTGTGTCAATTACGAAAGTAACCCTACAACTACACAATAATCAATAATCTGAATTTGATCTGTTGTTAGTCCCTTGAGTGTGATTGAGAGGCAGAATTCAGATATGGCAATGGAGAGCCAAGTATTGGAGATAAGCTGCTTACATCTCCCACAAGCCCTTCCTCACACGTGGAGCCTCCTTAGATTTTTCGATAATCTTTCCGGAAAGAAAAAAAGTTTCGATTTTGACTGAGCGAGAGAGAGACTAAGGAAGAAGAAGAAGAGGGGAGATATCGAAGGATTGGGTTTCTCTCATTACCCATCAAATCTTTAGGGAGTTTAGTGTGAGAAAGTTGAATCTTTCATTGTAAAAGAGAAGAATTTTCCTATTCGATTAAATATGTCGGGCTTAGCTGCTTCGTTGATCAATGGGGTTGGTCTTAAACCAGAAAGGTCGAGTCTTTACCAGCCCAGTTCGATTCCTTCCTTCTTGAGGTAAACAGTTTGAGATTATTTTTGATGGGTTGCTAGAAATTTAGAATCTTCATCTGATTGTTGGAATTCAAAACCCAGAGAGAGAGGAAGCTAGTGTGGTTTTCTAATAGAGTATTTGATTATATGAATGTGCAACATGTGTTTGTGGAATTGCTTGAACCAACATGTATGAGAGATGTTTGTTATCACAAACCATAATCCATTTTTTGTTTTGTTATGTGCTTAGAAGGAAAAATCATGGTGTTGTTAAGGCCTCAGCTCGGGTTGATAAGTTCTCGAAAAGCGATATCATTGTCTCTCCATCGATTTTATCTGCTAATTTCTCCAAATTGGGCGAGCAGGTTCGGTTTCTCTCCTTAGAGATTACTTCCAAGTATTCTGTTTTTTGAGCTCTGCTTGACGGTTTGTTGCTCGATTTCTGTCAGGTAAAAGCTGTAGAGTTAGCAGGTTGTGATTGGATTCATGTTGATGTAATGGACGGTCGTTTTGTTCCCAACATTACAATTGGACCGCTCGTGGTTGACGCTCTGCGTCCTGTGACAGATCTTCCATTGGATGTTCATCTTGTAAGCTTATGCTTCCCTTGGGTTTAATGATGTTTTTTTTAGTTCACTTGCTAAATTTTAGATGCTCTTATTTCAGATGATAGTTGAACCGGAACAGAGAGTGCCAGATTTCATCAAAGCAGGTGCAGACATAGTCAGTGTACATTGTGAGCAATCCTCGACCATCCATTTGCATCGCACAGTCAATCAAGTAAGAATGGTTTACTTGTTTAATGCTTTTTGTAGACATTTCTTTTCAATTAATTGACGTTATGCTGTTGGTTGCATGTAGATTAAAAGCTTGGGAGCTAAAGCCGGAGTTGTCCTTAATCCGGGGACCCCATTGAGTGCAATAGAATATGTATTGGACTGTGAGGCTTCTGCTTATGAATGCTTCCACCCTTTACATTATGCATTTAATTACCGATAAAATTGTTCTGATTGGAATGTCTTTGTGCTTGTGGCATCAGCGGTCGATCTGGTCTTGATAATGTCTGTGAACCCTGGGTTTGGTGGACAGAGCTTTATCGAAAGCCAAGTAAAGAAAATCTCGGAGTTGAGAAGAATGTGTGTAGAGAAGGTATATCTAACTACTTAACCTTTTTTTCATTCGAAGAAGTTAGATCTGTAAACCTAACTTCGGGCCTCGTCTTGCTTGTAACATTAGCTTGGGTTTTTACTGCAGGGAGTAAACCCATGGATTGAAGTTGATGGTGGAGTCACTCCAAAGAATGCTTACAAGGTGGTGAAAAAGTTCAAAAAACCTCTTCCGATTTTTCGTTAGTAACTCTTATTAGTGAAGTTAGCCCCGGATGATGAGTTTTTTCATGGTGTTTAAAAGGTTATTGAGGCTGGAGCAAATGCTTTAGTGGCTGGATCAGCTGTATTCGGAGCCAAAGACTACGCCGAAGGTATAAACTCTCTCTGCCTGTTAATTGAATTACACATCCTTTTGCGAGTAGTGAAATTCTGACATTCTGTGTTTCTAATATTTTTTTTGCAGCTATAAAAGGAATCAAATCTAGCAAGAGACCAGAAGCAGTGGCTGTGTGATCTTAAAGACTCAGGGTTGAGTAAAGTTAGCTCTCATCATGTTTGTTCTTTGATCAAATCTTACACCAAGACCTCTAAATCTTGTGTTTCCTGAGTAAAAACTCATGATCTTTGGTCTTTTGAAGACTCCTGCAGAGAACCTTGGAACAAGGACAAGATCACAAAGTTTAGTTACAAACACCTGTAAAAGAGGCAAGGAATGTCTACAAAGCACTCTTGTAAAAACTATTAGATAATCTAAGGAACAATAAAAAAAGACACCTTTTTTTTTTTTGTTTGGAAAACCTACCCAGAAAGATAAACCCTAAAAGTAATTGATTTTTCACATGGAACTGCACTTAACCTAACGAATTGGGTTAAGCAAACTCAAGCTTCATATAACCCCACCATCGATGATGATCCCTCAAGTTTCCTAAACAAAGTTCGAAGCTTTTTAAAAAATGGATACGGAGGAAAGATCGGAGATTGCTTTCTTCGACGTTGAGACAACTGTGCCAAAGCGAGGCGAACGTTTCGCGATTCTAGAGTTCGGGTCAATCCTTGTATGTCCGAAGAAGCTTACGGAGCTACGAAGCTACACGACTCTTGTCCAACCCAAAGATTTGAGTCTCATATCTTCTTTGTCCGTAAGGTGCAATGGCATCAAGCGTGACGACGTCGTTTTGGCACCCTTGTTCTCCGATATCGCTGAAACTGTCTACAACATTCTCCATGGTTCATTTCTTCTTTCTTAAAATTTGAAACTATACATATAGAAAGCAAAGGAAATGGAAGATTCAAGCTTTGTATTGTTTTGATGTCTGGTGCAGGGAGGATTTGGGCAGGTCACAACATATTGAGGTTTGATTGTGCAAGGATTAGAGAAGCATTTGCAGAGATTGGACGTACACCACCCGAGCCGAAAGGCGCTATCGACTCATTGGCTTTGCTAACTCAAAAGTTCGGTAGAAGAGCTGGTGATATGAAGGTTACTTTTTGAAAAATGTTCACAATATCAGAATGTTGAATGATGGAAACTTGTGAACTCTTTGTTTGAGTTTCAAGGTCTTTATCATGTGTGCTTTTGTTTGTGCAGATGGCAACTTTGGCTACATATTTCGGACTCGGGAAGCAAACGCATAGGTATATAAAACGTATATGCGCGTTAAGGATCGGATTCTTTACCTATCATAAAGCTTTTGAGCTCTAATTCTATGTATCTTCTTGTTCAGGAGCCTGGACGATGTTAGAATGAATCTTGAGGTTCTCAAATATTGTGCGACTGTCTTGTTCTTGGTATGTAATGGATAATCTTTGTCTCCTAATAGTTCTATTGCAAGCAATGTTTGAATAACCGGACTAATCAGAGAGAATGATGTTTATATTTTTTTCGCAGGAGTCTAGTCTTCCAGATGTACTTGTAGAGAATTCGGTATCTCCAGAAACTATTAGCTCAAGAACACGTCTCAGAGCATCATCCTCTTCTCGCGAGTGTAATGCTGTAATAAGCTCTCTTACGCTACGGCCAATTGACGAGAACAATGTAGTTCAGGCAGATCCATTCAACATGAGCATCTTGAGGAATGAAATGGCTTCCGACAACAACCTTCAATCAGAAGACACTCTGATGGAAGAAGAGCAAAACCAACCATCTAACTCTGTTCTCTCTGAAAACACAAGTGACCATGAAGGATTCTTGGCGCCTGAATTGATATCTCTTCCAAACATCAAAGCGATTCTTGTCCCGTTTTACCACGGAAGCGAGATAATGAAACTAAAGCTACTCCACGGAGCCTCCCCTCTGCAGCTCTACTGTTCTTGTCTGAAAATACGGTTTGGAATCAACGGGAAGTTTCTTGATAACCGCGGGAGACGGAGGCTAAACTTTGTGGTTGATCTATATCCAACCCTATGCAGTATACTCGAAGCATGTGACAGTAATGCGCAAAAACTATCCGTTGATTCGGGTTCTACATCCGAATGGAACTCGATACTAAATCCAACAAAGGGATTTATAAACTACCCTAACTCAAGGATACAGTAAGTTACCTTCGCTAAACCAACCTTTCTCCCTTTCTAGTTTCTTGCTTGCTTTTAGTTTCTCTTGATTTGGTTTCTCGGGGTTTATGCAGTATACCGACAGAGATAAATGGAGATGGATCGAGGTATGCAGCAGAGGTACACAAGAGAGAGTCCCCTGGAGGTACTGAGAAGCTAATCTTGAGTAATCCGAGCGTTGAGGAGCTTCAATCGTTGCTGAAACAAGGAAGTGTAGTAGATGCATTCTTGTCTTTAGAACCGTATGATTATCAACAGAAAGCTGGAATTCGTCTTGTTGCTAAAAAACTAGTTATACATTCGTAAAAATCATTACATAATTGTTATTAACACCATAAATAAAGTAAAGAAATTATTGACATTAATGTTGTAATTTACTGTATCAGTGTCCGAATCCGGAACAGTTAATACATGAATCTTTGATGGTCCACATCAATCTCAATCTCTCGTTAAAGTTCTTGATTGTCTTCTTCCT